TCTTTTTTTAGATAAGTTTCCAGTGTTTGAGTATCATTTATTTTGAAAATATAAGGTGCAATTTTTTCACCTTGTTCTTTCTTCAGAATACTTCCAATGGTGCTATAATTCTTGGGTTCCATAGTAGATGTAAATTAGTTCATATTAACTATTTTTATATAGGAGCAATTCTATATATCACTTAACAAATGGGACATTATAAAACTAATTGTGATGATAATAACTAAATTTGAACCCTGAAATTCTTGGTAATACCAATGTTCACTTTGTCTGGTTTTGTTGCAGCATGCCCCATATAAACTACTTTTTACATTTAAATGATTGATATAGTGGCAAGAGGAAGGAGGATAAAGTAAATAAATGTTTCAATTAGTTATAATTATCAATGATTTTAAATCAATAATTTTTATATAAATATGATATATTTGTTCTCTCGAAGGTTCATTTAGTTTCAAATGATGTTAATAAAATTTTTAGACTTTTTAATTGTTGGAATTTATAATTTTTACCTGCACAATAAATTATTAAATTATTACATCACAAAAAATTTTCCAATTTAATAGGTTATTTTCTTTTATGGGAAAATCCCATTCGGGTTTTAAACATTCAATTTTTTCTTTCTTAAAAATCTTTTAAAAAAATTTTTTTTTATTTTATATGATATAAATAATTTTTTCTAACATACGTTTAATTTAACACGTCGTAATTTTTGAAAAAAAAATTTCATATTTTGGAATTATTCTTTTTTTCCCACCAGATTGCGATGAGGTAGAAGTGGCAATTGTGTTGGGCATATCTGGCGTGGTAGGAAGAGGTATTACGGTAGTTGTAGCAGCAGTTGTGACTGTAGTGATGGTGAGATTAGGATGTTCTTTATTATATTTTCTTTTTTGTTTTATTATTGGTGGTGATGATGATGATGATTGTGCTGATTCGTTTAGTTTTCTTTTCTTATAAATTTGATTTTTTTGCATCTTATCATCTCCATTATTGTCATCATCATTATTATCATCTTTATTATTATCACACGTTTTGGCATT